TGTAAATTGGTACTGCCACTTAGTAAAGCTGTCAATCTCTATGGAAGCTAACCATATGTCTACCCATTGGCTTAGCTATTCCACTACTAGGTTTGTCTAATAGAAATGAGAGCATATATCATCAAAATATATACACATGAATATTCATGCCATCGTTATTCATAATAGTCCCAAATTTGAAACAACCCAAATGTCTATCCACAGCAAAATGATGATTCAATTATTCTAGTCATACAATGACAATCTATATATAATGAAAAAGAATGGACTGCAGCTACATTCCACAATATGGATGCCTCTTACAGATGTAATGTTGACTGACAGAAGCCAGGTAGGAAAGGGAAAACATATCGAATGATTCCATTTATATGAAGTTCAAGGACAGGCAAAACTGATCTCTGGGGATAGAAGACAGAATTATGGCTAGTTTTGGAGCACAGACTGGAAGGGGGCATGCGGAAACCTTCTATGGTTGTATAAATGTTCTGTAGCTAGACCTGGGTGGGGGTTACATGGGCATGTACCTACATAAAGCTGTATACTTAGAATTTATGCATTTGACTGCACGTATGTGATACCTTGTCCTTGGGTGCTACGAAGGGTTAAGTGCTTGAATAACCAAAAGGCTGGCAGTTCAAGTTCACCGAGAGGCACCTCAGAAGAAAGTCCTGGTGATCTAATTCCAAACAGTCAACCATTGAAAACCCTATGGAACACAGTTCTACTCTGATGCACATGGAGTCGCCATGAGTTGGAACTGGCTTGATGGCAACTGTTTTTTTAAGATATACCTTAATTAAAAACACCAAAAACAATAAAAAAAAACAAACCACAGAGTTTCTGCACCAATGCTGCAACCTGAATTTTGAGAAATATTTATAAACACCTAACTTAATGAAGATTACTTTATTCAAGTGATCACCTTTTCAATTTATACTCCCTCCAACTACAAATGAATGGTATGTAATAACAATTTCTGTTAAAAAATGTACGCCACAGAAAAAGAGAAGGTATTTGTAGCAAATATTACTGAGATGGAACCCATATCAGAAAAGACTGCAAATCTATTAGAAAAAGACCAATGACATAACAGAAAAATTAGCTAAAGAAATCTCACTTTTCCCTTCCAGCTTTTCTAAAGCTATCACATATTACTGCTGTTTTTAAACTAATGTTTAGTTTGACAATAATACATGAATATACTTTCCTTGTAAAAAATTAAGACATTACAGGTAAGGCTGGAGCCCTTGTTGACCTCTAACCCTGGTCCCCCACCCCCTACTTCCTAGAGGAAATTACTGTTAGCTCTTTGCTGTGCTTTTTTCCTAGATTTTTTCAAAGTAATGCTATTTTGTGGGATTTTTATTTATTTTATACATATGGCATCATAATGTGTGTATTGTCCTGGAACTTGCTTTTTTCACTCAATATGATGTCTTTCACCATTTTTCTATGTTGGTATGTACAAAGCTACTTTATTACCTTATTCTTTTTAACTGCTTTACAGTGTTCCACTGAATGGATGTTCACAATTTATATAGCAGTTCCTCTATGGATAGATATTGAATATTAAGGCATCTTTCTTTCTTCTCTCTTTTTGGCAATTAGTACTCTTTAAAGAGAACAACTGCTATTTAATATTTAAATTAAATATTTATTTAATTCCAGCTTCTTAACCTAATCAGATTCAGAAAGCTCATGCCTCATTTTAATCTCAGAAAGCAGTATCTCAGCCTCGGGGATTTCCACAGTGGTCTAAGTAGAAATGGAAGCATGTAGGTTTGTGGAGCCCTCACCTCTGCTCTGTAGTCCCCCATCCCCATAGCTGGGACAGTACTGGAAACCTATGTTTCTGTTCTTATGCCTCTTCTGCTGATGTGCTGTGTGACATCATGTGAGTTCCTCCCCTCTCTGGTTCTCCATCTCCTCACCTATGAACAGAGGGGGTTGGAGCTATGTACTTCTGCGGTCCTTCTCAGCTCTGAAGGTCTTTGATCCTCAGTGTTCTGTTGTCCCCAGTGATATATGCAACTGACCATCCAACACAGGGGTGCCTGAGAAAAATTTTTCCTTCCCTTGCAGCTCCATAAACAGTCCGCCTCCTGGGTCTTCACAGGGGAAACTTAACTGATGCTCGCAGAGTCACAGCACCTCATGAAAGGAGGTGCTAACAGGGGACACTTAGGCCTTGAGCAGTTCTTCCTACTTATCCCTCTGGCTTCTGAAGGCCTAGTTTCCATAGCAATCTGGGCCCACTGAACCATATTAAAAACCTGTTATCATAAAGAGGAACTATTAGCTGTCTCGAGAGTCCATTTGAAGGGGGAAAAAGAGAGGCAATTATTCCTTACAGAGGAAGAGCAAAACAGTGCTTGTTTCAGAGACTCTCAGATGGGTAAGGGCCTGAGAGCGACTGGCACAAGCCCCTCATTTTAAAGATGGGGACACTGAAGTATGGAGTGAATCCTTTCTGGCTCTTATTCTGAAGCTCTCTCTGCTGTTGCTTCCTTCTCATTTCTCTGTACCTTTGTTCTATCTTCTTAATTCCTCCCTACCCTCTTCCCCATTCTCTGTGCCTCCAAGATGATCTCTGAATGGGATGACTCATAGCCGTATCCTTCCTTCATCTTCTAGTCAGTTCTCTCGACAGCCAAAATGGCCTTTTAAAAAAAGGAAATCAGATCCTGTTACACTTCTGCTCATGGAGTTTCTGAGTGGTGCAAATGGTTACACATTCAACTATGATTCAAACCCACCCAGAGGCTCCTCAGAAGACAGGCCTGGCAATCTACTCCCAAAAAATCAGTCATTTAAAATGCTAAGGAATATAGTTCTACTCTGACACACATGGGGTCGCCATGAGTCAGAATTGACTCAATGGCAACCAACAACATTCTTTTGTTCACACCGTCCAATGGCTCCTGATGGTGGCCCATGGAGCCCAGCTGCCTCTCCCACCGCAGTTCCTTCCTCTTCCCCTTTGCCCCTTCACTCCAGCTCACCCTGGCATCCTTTCTGTGCCTCAACGGCACCAAGCTCTGTCCTCTCTAAAAAAGCACACCCCCTACCAAGCCCATCACTGTCTATCCATCCTATTACTCTGTTCATTACTCATTACTCATAGCACGGATCACTATCTGAAAATCATAGTTTGGTTGTTTATGTCTTTGCTTATCCCCGTCACTGGATAAAAATGGTAATAATTTGTCTCTCGTGTTCACTGCCATTTCCTTGCCACCCAGTGTCGTTGTCTGGCAAAGAGTGGGCTCTCGATCACCCCCCCCTTTTTTTTTATACTTTAGATGAAGGTTTACAGAACACACTAGCTTCTCCTTAAACAGTTAGTACATATCTTGTTTTATGACATTGGTTAACAACCCCATGACATGTCAGTACTCTCCCTTCTTGTGCTTGGGTTCGACCCTTTTTTTTCTGGATGAGTGTATGGATGGGTGAATGGATGCCAAAAGATTCTCACTGCATCCTGAGGATTAGGCTTCTCCTACCAGTGCTTTTCCTACCACTGCTTGGGGCTGTAATAGTCACTGTTGTACCTATAGGATTGGGCCCACCTGGGGACACCACCCATGGAGAAATACTAAGACAAATTGGAGTGCACTGGGGAGGAATGTGGAGAACAGAACCTAGAAGACGGCCACCTCCGTGACTCAGCCCTGAGGGTTGGCTAGGATAGATGAAGGGTCCAGTGGGAAAGATCGGGGACTAGTTCTGTGTGGTCCTGGGGGGGGGGGGGTCACAAGGAGGTGTGGTTTGCTCATTGTCATGGATTAAACTGTGTCCCTCCCAAATATCTGTCAACTTGGGTAGTCCATGATTCCCAGTATTGTGTGATTGTCACCATTTTGTCATCTGATGTAATTTTCCTGTGTGTTGTAAATCCTACCTCTATGATGTTGATGAGGTGGGATTAGCGGCAGTTAAGTTAATGAGGCAGAACTCAATCTACAAGATTAGGTTGTGTCTTAAGCCAATCTCTTTTGAAATATTAAAGACAGAATCGAGCAGAGAAACATGGACGGGACTTCATACCACCAAGAAAATAGAGGCAGGAGCGCACACCTTTTGAACGCGGGGTCCCTGCACTTAGAAGCTCCTAGAGCTGGGGAAGATTGATGACAAGGAACCTCCCCTGCAGCCCACAGAGAAAGAAAGCCTTCCCTGAAGCTGGCACCTGAATTCAGACTTCTAGCCTACTAGGCTGTGAGAGAATAAATTTCTCTTTGTTAAAGCCATCTACTTGTGGTATTTCTGTCATAGCAGCACTAGATGACTAAGACACTCACTATGATAACTACCGCCAATTACTGAGCTCTTACTATATGCACTTTGCAAGGTTATGTGCTTTCATCCTTTATACAGGGCGGACTTATTATCTCCCATCACAGAAAATGAAGATAATTTTATATGTTCTTCCTTCAGCCTGGATCAGTCTTCCCTAGTTCTCCACAAGGCTAATTCCTGCTCATTCTCCAGGTCACCTCTTCAGGGAAGTACTCCCTCACCCCCAAGACCACACCAGTTCTGCTTTTTATATTCCAATTGGGCCCTGCATTTGTCCCATGTAGCGCTCATTATAATTGTAAATGCATGATTTCTTCGTAAACACTTGCTCAACGCAAGTCTCCCCCTCTAGACTGTACAGACACTAGACAGTGCCTGGCCTGTGGTAGCTGAGGAATCATTATTTGTTTAATGAATGCGTGTAAAACTAAGACTCAGACGATGGTCAAAGTCCTGCAGCTAGTGAGTGGTGGAGCCAGAAATGGAACCCAGTGTGTCCGACCCCAGTCCTCTGCTCCTTCCACAGTGTTCTAATGGTCAGAGCTGTCTGACAATGGATAGAAAAGTAGTGCACGCCCCACCATTGGGAGAATACCAACCTGTATCACAGGGCCTCAGGGCAGGGTGCTGAGAGGGGCTTTCAGGATCTGGTCGGGGTAGGGGGGTCCCGTCCAGCCTAGAGACATTCCAGGACTTACCAGAGCTTGCTCTATGAGGAGGCAGAACAAAATGGCGTTGCCCACTTCCCTCAGACTCTGGAACACGTCTGTTTTGAGTTCTGCGTACTCAATGATGTCCTTTAGCTGGTGGTGGAAGAATTCCAGGATCCCTGGGAGAAGAAGGGGAATGGTCACCAGGAAGCTGATGCTGCTCAGCTGGTTTATGGGAAGTGCTGACTGAACTGACAGCAGCCCCACACCGACTAGGGAGAGCAAAAAGCCAGATCATGCATCCCGTTGTATGTGGCCCAGAGGTGGGGTTTCTTTCAAGGCTCAGTACCAGGAAAAGCTCAGGAAGGTGGCTCGAATCCTTTTTGGAAGAAAGGAGATAAACAAAACAAACACACAAATGGGGCAGTCCTGGATCTTTCTCCAGTTCCTCCAAAGAGTTACCTGAATTCCTAAAAAATGATAGGACATTTACTTGTTATTTATTTGGAACATTTATTGATAGGTGCTGGATATTGTACTTAGCGCTTTATCCACAATGTCTGATAATTACACTCCTAACAATGCCCTAATTAGACACTATCATCCCTATTTTTCAGATGAGGCTCAGAGATGGTAAGTATCTTGCCTATGGTCACACAGCTAGTGAGTGAGGCAGCTGGGACTGAGAACCAGGGCTTCTGGCCCCAGCCCTTTCCTATTCTGAATCACACTGACCCAGCACCTGACATCTTGGGTTTTGCAAAAACATCATGTGCTAAACTTATGATCTTCATCTTCCCCCAAGCCCCATTCACCCTAAGGGAAGGAAAGAATTATTTCTCACTCCAGAAGCTGAGCGGCAGACTCCTGTTTCCTGGCTCACCTTAGATACATCACTTTGAACCCCCACCCAGAGCACCAACCTCCTCCAAACGGGTAAATGGAAGGATTCCTAGAGGTGCTGAGCTAATGATGGCCCTTACATATAAACCTTGCTATTCATTATCTGAAGGAGCCCATACAGTGGTTAAGCGCTTGGCTGCTAACTGAAAGACTGGTGGTTCAAACCAGGGCTTTGAACTGGTTTGAACCGGTTCAGCTATGGCCAGCAAAGCAAAACCGAAACAGATCCGAATTTTTAAAATTTGGGTTAACCGGAACAATAACCAGAATGGGAAAAATTATGGGTCGAAGCCCTGGAATGGGAAACTTGGAAGAGGTGTAGCGAGCCCTTTCAGGAGCCTGAAGCGCGAGACCAGATTACTGGCAAAACCGTGGAGAGCGACACGCACTCAAAGCAGTGCCGCTGGCTACCATCTCTGAGCCGGGCTCCGCTGTTTCTGCCTCTGCTGAAAATCTGACCGGCAAGAGATCTGGTTGCTATACAATGCGTGAGTTGCTCTTGTTTTCTAAGAGAGAGATTAAGTTTCTAGTAGGGCTTCGACTTGCAATTTTTCCTGTTCTAGTTCACCCAAATTTTAAATATTCAGGTCTGTTCTGCTTTTGCTTCCTCGGCCATGACTGAACAGGGGAGAAATGGTGTCAAGCCCTGGTTTGAACCCACCAGCTGCTCCACAGGAGAAAGAGGTGGCAATTTGCTTCTGTAAAGATTACAGCCTAAGAAACTCTATGGGGGCAGTTCTACTCTGTCCTATAGGGTTGCTAGGAGTTGGAATCAACCTGATGGCAACAGGTTTATTCATTATTTAAAGACTTTCATATTTGCCATCCTTTTTCAGCTTCCCAAGAGTCCTATGCGGCAGGATGCAAACCCAGGGCTTCTCACTCCTTACCCAGTACTCAGCTCCCAGGCATGTTAGAGAAGCAAACACTACAAGGTAGATGGCCAGAGGCACCCCCACCATGGGTGGGGTTTGGGTTATTTTCCTATCACCAGCCCCTGCCCCTACTTTCCCATCACCAACCTGGGGAGCCATATTCATGCCGGGGCAGGCGGCATATCTTGGGCATCACTTCTATCAGTGTTTTCACATACTGGAGAATCGTTCCTTGGAGCTGACAAAAGAAGAAGACAAGAACAGTGAAACAATCCACTGCTGCTGCATGCATGCCTCTGTGGGCTGAGTGCTAGGCTACTGGGTGTGTGGAGGGTCTGTTGGGATCTGTGGGTAAGGCACTGCTCCCTGACAGGAAGAAGCTGTTCCCGCCCATAGGGAGTAGATACGGTCAAACTCAGCAAATGGTCTATAGAAGACAGAAAGGGGAGTCTGCTCATTACTCTCTCGGGCACACAGACTTCAAGGAGGGCACATTGCTAGGCATGGCATTTTTCCTGGGGTTAGGGTGCTTAGATAAGACCCAGACGCACAACTAAAAATGAAACAGGGCCAGGGAGCTGTGGAGGTTGAGACACATTATCTAATTTAAGCACGGAAAATACATGGTACATTAATCTCTCCTGTGTCCAAGGCAGACATCTTTAATCAATTACCACATTTTCCTATTTTACTTTGGATTCAGTTTTAGTCTTTAACAGTCTGTAGCTCCACATAGCTGCTACCAGAGAACTGTGGTTAACAGGTGAATCCTGTTTGCTCTTTCTGACCTGCTTATATATATTATTTTGTTGATTTCCCTTTGTCATCTCAAATCTTCAGGATAAGCTGGTTGAATGCTTCAGCCTTGCTACAGTAGTGTTCATATGAACATACTTGGGGGCAGCGTGGTAAAGGGATACAGAATTCCCTTGAGGCCAATGAGTACGGATAGCAGCATTTAGCAAGAAATCCCAAGGGGAGAAGTGTGGTGATTGATTAGAGATGTCTGTCATGGGTATGGGAGGAGACGATGACAGCACATGTATCATGGATTTACTGTGCTCAGATTAGACAATGCAGCACAGGAGGGGAGCATGAGCAGTCATTAGCAGGCCCTCAAGGTCAAAATGAGGATTACTGAGTTCAGTAATCATATAAAAAGAGTGAGTTCAGGATCACTAAATAGGAGGCAAAGCCCCAGGTCAGAAGGTGCACAGAAATGTAACAGAGCGATAGGTCAGAGCAACCAAGGGACATGGGTGAAGGACTTTCTGTTGATTTCTATAGACAGAGCCGGAGTGCCTGTGACTTGTTTTGACAGGCCAGGTAAAGAGTAAAGGCAAATCTTGTTCATGTTGACCCCCCCTGGCCACCTCCCAGGTCTCATTCAGGCTTCTCCTTACCAAGCTCTTGACAATCTTCAGCAGTTCCTCCATGACCACAGCAATGCCCTGGTAGCCCAGGAGTCTGCAGATAGTCTTGAAGTGAGGGGGCCCCACAAAGTTCCTGTAGGAGCTGTAGATGTGGCTGTAGGCAATGTTGAGTGGCTAGAAAACAGGGGTTGTGGCAAAGTAAGTGGCTGAGTATGAATGGACGCTGGTGTGAGGTCTTGCAGTATATGCTTCTCTGGTAGAAGGAACGGGAACCTGAAGTGATCAGCTGTCTTTCACTGAGGACCCCTGTGAATATGTTTACAAGATGTTGGCCACGGAGAGAGGTGTGGTCAGTGACCACAGGATGCAGCAAAGGCCACTCAATGGAGCAGCTGTTCCCTAGCAGAAGAGGAGAAAGAGCTTCTAGGCAAATGTCCCTATTACAGGGACTCCTGCCACCTATGACTGTCCATACACAACCAAGTCTTGTAGCCATGATTTTTACAAATTGAATGAGGGGATGAGAGGTAAAATGTATGATTTTCTTTCTCTAGAGGCATTTCTGGTACTAGAAACTGGCTGGAAGAGCCATTTGAAAACTCAATAGCTCATTTGACATCTTCCTACTTTCAGTTGCTTCCATCTATGACAGGGTGCTGCTGTCTTGGAAAGGGAACAGGCCAGCAAGCCAGGAGATGCTGATGAGTGTGTAGGAAAATCACTTGTTTTTGAGTCTCATTTTCTTCATCTATGAAATGAGGAAGTTAGAGTAAGTCAGTGGTTTCATGACATTTAAAGTGGCAGTCCAAAGGAAAGATGTCATGGAAGCGAGTATGTGAAACAGACAAGAGTGGGGCTGCTGTTTTGGTGATGGTTGGGGGCCTCAGAGCCCTGGCCACCATCTGGCCACCTCCATCTTCCTCTGGACCCTGTGAGACATCTTCCGTGAATCCTAGGGCTCCCTGGAATACACTTTAAACAACCTTAGAGGAATTTCTGTAAGATCCCCTCCTGTCTGAGAATACATGACCAAAATATAGGGCCCTAAACTGGTTCTATGAGTTGGAATCAACTTGACGGCAACAGTTTGGCTATTTTTGTTGTTGTTGTTGTTTTCAATTGGTCTCACTTGGTTGCTGAGACTGTACTAGTTACCACTGACTAATACTGAGTTTGTGAAATGCTGCCATTTATGCAGCTCCTCTTACTCCATAATGTGAAGCCTTCCGTGTGCATACTCATTTAATCTACACAACAGACGTATGTGATAGGGACCATTCTTAGTCCCATTTCACAGATGAGGGAACTGAGGCTTGGGAGGTAAGTAGCTTGCTCAAGGCCACACAGTATGTAGATAACTGAGAGCTGATCTGAACCCAGATATGGCTGACTCCAAAGCCCACACTCTTGACCTCTAACAGTGTACTTTGAATGTTGAATTCTTACATAAGCCATCCCCAGTTTTTTTAGATAAGGTTTTACTTCAAAACTTAGTTCTGAGTGTAGTTTTCCTACTGGAATTGCATAAATTTTCTACACAGAATGTGTAAGTATGGGAAGACCACATGTGACACTCTGGATTAATTGGCTAATTGGAAGTTCTACATGAACTAACTAGGGCCTGTAGTGATGCTTTTGGAGGGCTGCACGATTCTGAACGGCCTCTGGAGCCATCGAGGGAAGATTTAATTATGATCAGTCTAGTTTTTGAGTTAAGTGAGTTTTACATGTATGAATTATTCTAAACTTTGCCAAACAAGCATCAAAATTACGTTGCTGCTGTTGTTGGGTGCTGTCGAGTCGATTTTCAACTCATAGCAACCTTATGTGACAGAGAACAATTGCCCCATGGGGTTTTCTAGGCTGTAATCTTACAGAAGCAGATTGCCAGGTCTTTCTCCTGTGGAGCTGCTGGATGGGTATGAACTGCCAGTCTTTCCGTTAGCAGCTGAGCACTTAACCACTACGCCACCAGGGCTCCTTATTACAACTATCCTACACTTGATCTTAGCCAAAAGGCTAAGAAGTGATTCCTTATTACAACTATAAACCAAAAAAACCAAACCCATTGCCGTCGAGTCGATTCTGACTAACAGCGACCCTACAGGACAGAGTAGAACTGCCCCATAGGGTTTCCAAGGAGTGGATGGTGGATTTGAACTGCCAACCTTTTGCTTAGCAGCTGTAGCTCACCATAGCTCTTAAACACTGAGCCAAGGCTCAGTTTAGTACTCTCTAATAACAAGGAGTCGTGAAGAATTAGAACACTCACTCATTCACCAGGCTGACTCATAGCGTGTTTGGAAAGCCAGTGCCTACGAACTGGGAGACTTGGAATATGAGAACGTGCGGTATGCTCTACCTAAACCCAAGGAGCTGCCCCTCAGTATACTCTGACTGAACACAATATGAGGTAGGGGATGAGCCTGAGGGAGGGACATATTTTATACAGTTACTAAGGATTTCTAAATGTTATGGGGCAGAATGGTTCATGTAGGGAAGGGAATATACCTGACTCAAAAGCATAGTGTTCACAGCAAAGCCTAGAAGTATACAAACTGCTAAGTTCAATTAAGCCAACCACGTGGCCAGGCTTATTTTGCAATTTTTAACATGTGGGGCAAATCCATCTTAGTGCCCCAGTAACAGGCCACATTATCAAACAGGACCAGAAATAGGGTGAGGTGCGTGAGGTACTCAGGATTTTAGGAGGTGCTCACTCTCCTGAGTTCATCCTAGTCCCGGCCCCTTATCACAGCTCCATTCTGTATTCTCATTTCCCTCTCCAGAGATGAAGAGTATATTGCAGACACCAAACCAATCATGACTTGCCTCTGGGAGAGACAGGAGATTGGTTTGGAAAGAGGCATAAGAGAACTTTCTAGGGTGATGGAAAAGTCCCACATCTTGATTAGGTTGTTGGCTACACAGATATATTATTTGTCAAAACTCAGGGAACTGTATACACACTCACGACCTGTATATTTTACTGTATAAGATTATACCTAAATAAAACCCACTGGGCTATGACATAACCTAATTTACTTCCCAATGTTTACTTCTATCGATTATAAAGCAAAGCCATGGTTTGGAGCAAATCCCGAAGAGGGCCCCAATGGGTTGGCTCTGCTGCTTGAGGCTGCATAGGACTGGGGCTTGGGGTTAGGGAGGTGATAGCTCAAGAGTACAGGGCTTTTTCTGAAGTGATGAAAATGTTCTAAAAGTAACTATGATATGGCTGCAAAATTCTGCAACTATACTAAAAACCACTGAACTATAACCACTTTAAATGGGTGAACTGTATGGAATATGACTTATATCTCAGTAAAGCTGTTATGAAAAATGAGAGCTGTCCAACAAGAGGTTGTACTGGGTAGAGTCCCTCATCGCTGGAAGTGTCCGACTGGAGGTTGAGAAACACTCTGTTGGGTTGTCAGAAGGGAATGGTGTCCGGGGCTGGAGTTGGAATAGACACACTCCCTTCAGCACCCCCGCTCCCATGCATTCTTCCTGGAAGCTCTTCTTTCCTAGCATCTCCTCAACCCTCACCACCACCCAAGGAGCTTCTGGCGCCAAGTTTCTCTTAGTACTTCCCAGCAAGCACAAATAAAAATATATTCAGATTGATGGAAACTGTTCAGCAACCCTTCCCAGTTCTAGGCAGAGGAGGAGAGTCATTTTGGAATTGTTCTACCACACACAAGAGTTTGAAAAATCCCCCTATACACCTGCTCAGTGCACTTAGGAGGCTTCATGTTGACATTCCTACATCAGTCTTGGATTCTGGTCCAGACTGGCAGTTCAGGCCTCAGCTGATGGCCCAAGTTCAGTAAAGACCAGCATGAAATGAGCAGAATTCAAATCCTCCTTCTAAGCGACCAAGCCCCCTCCCCCCATACCTCCCCCATCCCCCCAGAACACACCACACACGTGCAAGAGGAACAGCACCCACATGCTAAGAGTCCATGCACAGACATCCCCTGAGGGCACCCATCTGACCTGCTGGCTCAATAGGAGGCTGGGCCCTATTGAGAAAATGTGGGAATATGGGAGCCTGGGCATTTTCTGAGGTTTGGCAAAGAAAAACAGGAATGCAACATGACTTGAGACATTGGAAATGTGCCACAAATCTCATACGCTGAACCAATCCTGCTAACTGACTCAGGTTAAAATCCAACCTGCCTTACTTTAGAAACTAATTATGTATCTTATCTGTTTAGGATGGTTCACTTCAAATCAAGCTCATTTAAACCTGCACTGCGTAAAATAGGTAACTTTATGAGCACTCAAGAAATAAACCCTCCCAATTCAGGAATTAGTGCCAGGTTATTACTGTGGGGCACAAGTGTGTATTTTGTTAAGAAGCAAAACCAGTATTCTAAGGAGAAAAAAAATACAGTGAGTTTGACCTGGCAGATCGCGGTCACCGTAGCAGGATCTGCACAGGAACTCTGAAGCATAAGGTCTCCGTCTATCACCAGATGGTAAACACGGCCAGGCACTCCAAACAAGGAGGGCTATTTATTTGGCAAGCTGAATTTGCAAGCAATTTGCATCTCTGCTTTTTGGAATCATAATTGCTGTTTTCAGAGATCCCAAGAGGAATTAAAACGGTTTCCAATTTCCTGTTTTAGTTACAATTTCTCTAACATTCCTTGAGTAATCTGAATACTGTCAGCCCACAAACACAAACATAGCTCTCTAATTCAGGTTGGAGAGCTGCATCTCAGCTCTCTAAAACCACTGCTAGTAAATGAAGCCTGGAGGTAATGAATAAAAGCAACATTGTCCTTGTCTGGAAAAGTCACAGGGTAAGATGGTGTTACGGGTAAGTCTCCAGTTACAGGTTCAAATCCATTGCTGGAACGTGGGTAAAACTGCTGATCCTCTGTCCCTTCTTGACATTAGGTGAACTGCAGGGTCGGGTCTCCAGAATCTAGTTCTGATTCCTTCTCGGCCTTCTAAGCTCAGAGACTGAAAGATCCAAGGGAGTTGCTGTAGAGAATTCAAGAAATGGCGCCCCTTCCTTTCTTATCTCATGAATAAAATGCTTTGGAGAAGACAAGAGGGAAAACAGTAACCGAACCTTCCTGTTCTGGGGTATCATGTCAGCCCCCTGATACCTAAAGATGCTAACATATTTGGAAAGAAACCAGTGGCACCACTTTCTTTTA